GATGTCGCCAGGTGGCTTTGGGATGGAGCTGGTTCCTCAGTTTGGGGGAGGAAGAACCCCCCTCCCCCGACTCCTGGAGGGCATGCCGGGGAGGGGTGCCTGGGACTGGGAGGGGAGAGACGCTTGCCAAGTTGTGCTGTGTGTCGCGTTTTAAGTTTGCTGCCTCCCTGCTCCTGGGGTGGCAGCGGGTGGGGGGGAAGGTGTGGGGACCAGGGAAAAGGGGCGCTGCCTGTGCTTTCCCAGGGCCCCCTCCACCCACGATCAGGAAGGAAGAGGAGCTTTGCAGAGCGGACAGCGGTACAAACGCAGGCTTAGAAGCTGTTTAGGGTGGCCTGGACTGTCCAGAGTCTTTGAATGGACAAGATGTGGTCTCTCTGGAGCCGGGTGTGCGTCTTCTCTTGGGTGAGGTTTGTACTTCCCTAGGTTGCTCGTTGATTAGATTTGAGGAGAACAAGACTTGGCAGCGGGCACTGGCCAGCTCCTCTAACTCTGGTTAAGTGTGAGGCGAGGGTGGCAGCCTGCAGACTGGGCAGGAACTCGCCTCTGAGCTGGCACAGGTAAGGCGCCCTGACGTGGAGGTTGTTGCGAATCAGTGTTAGAGGCAAGCTGACAGCTGTCAGGGACCAGGCTACTGTAGCCAGGCTGCCTTCCAGACCACTGTCACCTACTGCTAAGTTTTCACATTCATTTGATTAGAGGCACCCCCTCCCTAATTCTAAACCACAGCAGCCAAGATGCCTAACACTAAATTAAGCAAAGAAAAAAAAATTCAGTTGTATTAACACATGAGCGCTTCCTCCCGTCGTTTCACATTTCTAAGTGTATGTTCCCCCATTGTTCAGTCTCTGCCTTCGGCTGTCACCGTTTTTATTTCCACTTTGTTCAGAAATAGGACTGCTTATGCATTTGAAGCTCAGGGCGATAGGCTATTGAAATCAGCTCACAATTGAAAAGTTGACTCATGAGATCCTCTTTTTCCATGGAAGAAACAAAGATCCCAAGGACACAGGCAGGGGCACTGTATCTCTAGCCTCTCATTTGGTTTGGACAACATTCCCACGGTTTGTTCGTTTGGTGTTTTGTTTTGGGGGGGGGGGTTTGCAGTGGTTTTCTTTTGTATGGCATGTGCCTGTTAATGTGAGGATAGTTTGTGTGATCTGAGGACAGTGAAAAGCTCCCAGGTGATGTGAGTAAATCATGAACCTTAAATAACTTGCTACAGAATTCCAGAGAGTGGAGAATAGCCGTAGGTATTAGATGTGGTCCTTTTTTTCATGACAATAGCTTTGGTTCTTCGGAGGCAAATTGCTTTCTGGTGACTCCACATGGCTCTGAGGGCACTTCTTTTAGGACAGTCTTTAGGAAAGGTTTAGGGTGGGATGAGTCATGCCCCTGCCTCTCTCCCTCCCGCCTCCCTCAAAAAAGAAAATAATTGGGGTAAAAGAAACATCAAAGGTGACCTGGGGAGACAAAAAGTCAGGAAAAGTCAACTAGTAGCAGGAAGGACATGCAAAGGGCAGAGTAAAAATTCTTATCACCAGTGATAACCGCTCAGTTTTACATGACAGAGTAATTTGCAAAGGGCTTCACACACAAAATCTTAATTGATGTTCCCAATAAATTTGGAGTGTAGGCAGTGTTGTCATTCCCATGCCACAGATGAGGAAACTGAGGCTGACTTGCTCAATGTCACTTAGATACTAGAGGCCAGAGCCAAGTGGTAAGCCTCACTGTCTGACCCCAGATGCAGCAGCCCATCACCCATCTGGAGAATGGGATGTGGGAAGGATGTGGGTGGATTACACACACACCCCAGGGCCCTAGTGCTTTCCCAGCATCCTTCTCTCCCACTGCTTGCTCCACCTAAGTCAGCGTAGCGTGCAGGTGTAGACTCGCCTTCACCATTTCCCCTACCCCAGGCTTGAGAGAGGCTGTGACAACTCAGATTTGTTTATAAGACTTTGAGAAATCTAGGAAGTGTGATTGCAAGGAGTGTCTTTTTGCTCAAGCACTTGGGGTTTCCTAATAGTCTAAGTGTCTTCAGCTGTGTGATGCAAGCGGCCAAGGCAGTGCTAGGGAAACTTGCCATAATAACTTTCCTTGTTCTCCACCCAGAAGAGAAATGTAGTGGTTGTGAAACCTAAGGAGTTGACCCAGTAGTTTTGTTTTATCCAGTTTTTCATACATGGCATTGTTTGGATTATGGTGACACTTTTTTTTTTTAAAAAAAGAAAAAACAGGGCACAGCTGTTCTCATTAGGGAGAAACAAGCTTTCATCCTGTTTTCTAGATCTGAGCATCTAGGTCTGAAAAAGGACGTCAGGGGAAGTTGGCTGAGATGTGTTTCAGCAGGTCCATGGTACAAAACAGAATTAAAAGCCAAGGCAGTCCTGGCACACATCAGTACATGTATAGATCTGGAATGAGAAGGTGAAAGTTCCAGTCTATTCCGTGCTTGGAATATGGAGTTCTTTTTCTGGGCATTGTGTTTAATGAAGAACACAGAAAAAAAATCAAGCATATTTGTTGAAAATTGCTACAGTGGGGAATGAGTTAGAGCTGGTGAGCCTGAGAATCTTGGGAGCCATGATTCCAGAAGGTTCAGGAATGTCGTTTATTAAACTTGTCCTGTGGAGGCGTAGGAGCCCAAGAATGAAAGGACAAATGTAATACTTAGAAAGATTTCGGTTTTAAGAACTTGACTGCCAGAGTGACCTTTTAAAACCTACAGATCAAATCATGTCTCTCCCCAGTGACTTCTCAGTAGTCTTGGGATCAGAGTCAAACATCTTACTTGGGTCTCCTCTGTGAGTACTGACCGACCTTCCTCGTTTCTTCAGCTTTATTGGTGACCATTCTCTCACGAAAACCTCTCGTTCCTTCTGTGCCTGCAGTGTGTCTAACTTGCTCTGCCTAAGAGCCTTTGCACTGGCTTTTCCTCCTGCCAGATTTTCCCATGGCTGACTCCCTGTCACTCAAGTCACTGATCCAGTATCACACGCTTAGTGGGACCTTCCCTAACAATCTAAATGATGTCTTCCTGGTCCCCAGCACTCTCACGCGTATCACATTGTCTTGCTTTCTTCATCACGGTGTCAGAAACAGCCTTGCTTGTGAATGCCTTTATGGTCCGCTCCCCTTTTACCATTGTATCAGCAGTGCCTAGCATACAGTAGGTGCTCAATAAATATTCATTGAATGAATGATTGTTAGGACAGACATGTTCAAAGATGGGAGGGATTGCTCCATTGGCAGATACCAAGTGAGTCTTCTTTTACTACAGACAGTCATACAGAGGCTGGCTCGCCGACCATCGGGCAAGAGAATTCAAGCATCAGACGGTAAAGCCAGGTGACTTTCTGTATTAGCTTCCTAAGGCTGCTATAACAAAGCACCACAACCTGGGAGGCTCGAAACAGCAGATTTTTATTCTCTTACAGTTCTGGAGACCAGACATGCAAAACCAAGGTGTCGGCCGGGTTGGTTCTGACCTGGGGGCTTGGAGGGAGAATCTGTGCGTGCCCCCTCTCACATCTGGGGCTTTGCGGCCATCCTTGCTGTTCCTCAGCTTGTAGCTGCATCCCTCCCCTCCCTGCCCCCAAGGTCACGTGGCTGCCCCGTGTGTGTGTGTGTGTGTGTGTGTGTGTGTGTGTGTGTGTGTGTGTTTTCTCATTATTGTCCTTCTGCGTGTGTCTCTCCGTCTCTCACAAGGACACCAGTCAAAGTGGATTTGGGGCCCACCCCCATTCCACTATGACTTTATCTTAGCTAATTGCATCTGCAGCCACCTTGTTTCCAAATAAGGTCCCATTCACAGGTTTAGGGCTTAGAACTTCACCTTATCTGTTTCAGTGTTCACTTCAATGCATAACACCTTCTAACTGCAAGGTCCAGTGACATTTTAAAGGGAAAAACTGGCAGGAGAGGCTGGATTGTTTTTAGACATAATGGCATGGATTTGGATGTTTGTGCCTAAAGCACCTGTGATCCTTACAACTTGCAGGGTAAGTGGGGATCTGTATGTGTTCCAGGTGAGGAGAGTGAGGGTCCTAGTGACTGAGTGACGTGCCCAAGGTCGGGCAGGACCAGACGAGCCTCCTGACTGTGACTGCAGAGCGCACGGCCTCTCCACCCCTCCCCTGCCTGCTAGTGGACAGGTCTTCCTCGTGGCTCAAGCCCAGGGCAGGATGCGGGGTTTCTCCGACAGTCCTGTGGGGCCCTGGAGGGGTTGTCTCCTTCCCCAGCATCTTGCCTTATGCTGTCCTCGTGGTGGAGGGGCCACGGCACAGCCCTTGTAGCTGACGTCCACCAGTGACATAAACAGTGCAGCTGGGCGCGAGGTTCCAGCATCAGACCTCGTGCGGCCGGCTTTGACCTGGGGCCACAGAATTAGAGAAGTTGCATTTTCCCTTCGTTGGGCTTTTCCAGTGATTCCAAAGAGCTTTTAAGTAAGGTTTTGAGACTTCTGAGTTTCAATGTCTTAGATTTTGACCCTGAAAACTTATTGCTGATGTTCCAGGAGTGAGCCGTGCAGGAGTTCGCAGAGAAACTTCCCTGCTTTGGGGGTGGCAGGGTAAGAGCAGGGCAGGCTGCCGCCAGGTAGCTAATGTGACTGCTTCGCCTTTGGGGACCTTTTTATTTCTGGCTCTGTCTCGCCCCCCTTATCCCCCATCTCCTCCACTTTCTCGTGTCTCCTTCCAGAGACCTGGTGTCCTTGAGTGTCCCCTGGATGCCAGCCCCCACGGGCTGTGCTTCCGTCCCTGCTTTCCACTCTTCCTTCCTCCTGCCTTTTCAGACCCCCTTCGGGGGGGACCTGATAGGCTGGTCTGTTCCCAGGTCCTCAGAGCCGATGACAACACCTCTGCCAAGGGCTTTATATTTAGAAGGAAGGTGCTCGGAAGAAATGAGTCTGTAATGGTGAGATGTGGGGCTTTGAGGCTCGAGTGTGGGAAAAGCTTTTATTTATGGCCTGGTTTTCAAGTCAGGTTCCACTTCAGGGTTAGCCGTGACAAGGAGGCGAAGACAGCGCGCTCAGGGACGAAAGGCGGCAGGGACAGTAGATGTTGTGTCCCTGAGGGCATCAAGGTGGTGGTGTTGCAGCTCCTGTTTTTTGTGTGAGGTGCTCTGAGGGGGTTGTCACTAGCCCTCACAAGAACAGTGATGGGGTTGCTACTGTTGTCCTCCCCATTTCACAGATGAGAAAGCCAAGGAAGGGAGAGGCTGAGAGACATGCCTCCCGTCTCAGCTTGTAAGGGCAGGGCTGGCGCACAGACCCAGGCAGATCCAGTCTGGGTACCACGCTGCACTCCCGTGCTGTCTCCCCACCTCCTGGTCCGGGACGGCTCTCATCCTTCCTTGTTTCATGTGTGGTTTGGTGGCATCTTCGTAGCTCTCAAAAGGCAGCGTGATCCCAGTGCCTAGTGTGGGGCGCTGGGGATGCTCCACGTTGTACGAGAGAGAAGAACCTCATGGAAGAAAAGCCTTCAACCCTGGGGCTCCCTGGGCTCCTTCCCCTGCCTTTCAGTGTCCAAACAAAGGACCCAGACATTCCACCAAAGGAGTCATCTCCAACAGCAGCTGAGAGAAATGGTAGGTTTGTAGGGGAAAGAAGCGGAGAGCAGGGGATTATTTTTCCTCCTTGTCACCGAATCCACATGGGGAAGCCCGTGAGTGTCCCCCTTAGTGACAGCCTTTTGTAGACCAGGTGTGCACTGAGGCGTCATCCTGGCCTTTGCATCACAGCCAGGCGTGACTCAGAGCCAATGACTCACCAGTGACAAAAATGACCAGTGAGCTGGGGGAAAATGAGAATCTAGAAACAGCAGAGCAAACGGAAAATGCCAAAGTAAATGAGCTGGGAGGGCTGCTGTTCCGCTGACGTCCTTGAGTGAGTGAGGGGCTTGGGGGCGGGGCCGAGCCGGGAAACTAAGATACAAAAACAGGGCCCAAGAAAAGTGAGTGAAAACCTCACGAGAGAAGAAAACTGAACTGGGAGTTGATAGTAAATACCAAGAATGAAGTAAAAGAATTAAATGGGAACAGAACAGCGACGAACCTCAGGCCCCTGCCCCCTGATTTTAGCTTAATTTGGGTGGTTGTACAAAGGAAAAAGGAAGCCAGTTAATGGAGGAAAGCTGCTCTGGCCCCCTGAACTTGATCAGGCAGCAGAATCACTCAGCATCCTGAGGCTCGATTTGGGTAGTCAAAAAAAATACTTACCTGCCCTCGTAGGGGAAAGAGGTCTTCTACATAATCAAAGTGTAACATAAGGGGGACTGACGAGGCTCCCATACCCCACGGGGAAAGGCAGCATCTCGGACTTCACCTCTGAGGTCACCTGGAGTGCTGACAGCTGAGGGGTCCCTCAGGGTTGACACCTCCTGCCCAGTGGTCCTGCTCTGTCCGCGCCTGCATGCCTGCCTTCTCTCCAGACAGCCACCAGAGCGCAGCATCTCTGTAAAGTCTAAATCCGATCATGGTGTTCCCATGATGCAGACCCTCTGGTGCTCTCCCAGTTGCTCCTGGGAAGAAATCTCAACTCCTTAACTTGGCCTCCAAGCCCCTGCTTAGTGCACAGCCCTCAGCCCTGCCGTCCTCAGCTGGGCCGAGTTCATTCCCACCGCAGAGCCCGGGAACTTGCCATTTCCCCGGGGCCGGATGCTGGTGGTGGAGGTCTCTCAGGACGAGGGAACAGGAGGACGGGCTGAGCCACGTGCACGGGCTGAAGCTTCTAGCAGCCACAGTGAATGAGCAAGCAGGCCCAATGATCAACATAAACATGGTTCACGAGGCAGCTTACTTTCTCCTTCTGCACCAAGCCTGGGATTGTGGTCAGCACGCTGCCATTTGGATGAGCCACGTTTCCTGGCTCAGTAGGCACACGGGGCGTGTGGCCGCGGAGGGACAGCGCAGCGCTGACCCGCACGTGCCGTGGCTTCACTCAGCCTCTACGACGGACTGCAGCGATGTCCGCTTTCCTCTGTTCTCCGGCGAGAACACACGCTCCCTGGAGCCTGGACTTCTGTTTGTCCTGTTCACCGGGCGCAGCGCCTGACGCACTGTATATCCAGAATATTTGCTGGGTGATCACACGAACATCTGACCAAACAAACGAAACGCACCTCCGTCCTCTCCATGTCCTGGAGACAGCTGAGTACTAGTGCCGTTTGGAGCCTCCTCTCATCAAGGGAATTCCGTGCACAAGGTTCCCTGTTTCCTGTAGGTCCCTAACTCTCTCACATCGGGACTCGTGTGTTGTCAGAGACCCATTGTGACTATTCTTTTTTGGGCTTGTTTTGGGAGGTAGCAGCAATACTGCAAGAAGGATTTTCAAGAGGAAGCAGTTAGCAGGATTGAGATGCTGGTGGTGGTACTGCTCGAAGCTAATCCAGATCAGGGATTTTCAACCGGGAGCACCATCTAGGGACAGTTTGGGGTCACGACTGGGAGGTGCTTCCCGCCTCCGTGCTGCTAACCGAGCTACAGTTGGCACGCGGGACAGCCCTCCCTGCAGAGAAGCGTCAGCCCCGCCGTGGGTCTGCCTGACTCACGCTGGCAGCTAGCTGCCTTTCTGATCTGCCTCTGGTAACGTCAGGGAGCTTGTTAGTTTCTGGAAACTTGACAGGTTCTGTGTCGGCCCCATCTTTTCATTCCCTTCTCTCTGTCCTGTAAACCTGCTCCTACTTACCATTTTCTCTCCTCAAAGGATGGACCAAACAGGGGCTGCCTCTGGCTGAGCATTTGAGATGAAAGAAAATCAGCTCCGCTTTCACACCGTAGATTAGAATTCTGCAGAGAAGCCATCTGGAGCAGCCAGCACCTGAGAGCCGTGGGGCGGTACACCTGAAGCAGCCCTGGGACGCTGTTCAGATGCCTTTGTAGCAGAGCAACAGCAGAAACCCATTTCTCTTCACTTTCATTCAAGTAAACATCTGTCAGCTACGCTTTTTAAAAAAAACACATATTTATACTAAAAAGCAGGATTGTAGTGAAGAATTACATATTTCAATCCTTGTTAAATATTAACCCCCTGCCCCAAGTATTAGAGAATTCAGCTCCCATTTTATTGAGGGTAGAAGAGGGACTGATTTTGTGTTTTAGTTTTAGGGTTTTAGGGACTACTTTCAAATATAAAGCGAAGTTGTGCGCAACTTGGCAATGTTTTTTTCATCCTTCCCAACCTTCCACCGAGGTCTGAATGGGTCTGAACTAGCTGGGCTAGGGTCGGGGGTATCTACCGCCTCTTGCCTGCTGCTTCATGCTGTTTTCTCCAGAATAGCCCCCCCTTGTCTGACTGGCAGGCTCCTACCAGATTTGACCCAAGCCAGGCAATCTTTAAAGTTTCCCCAGGCAGGACTGAGTACTCCCACTTCTGGGCTCCCGTTGGCATCTGCATCCTGGAATTACAGCACTTGTCACTTGCTATGATCATTCACTTGTCTGTCTCTTAGATGGTGTTTGGGAAAGGAAGGCCTGGCTCCAATTTATCTTTGTGTCCCCAGGACTTAATCACAGTTCCCAGGACACGGTAGTGGCTCAATAAATGTTTGTGAAACGAGTGACCTGAACTCTACAAAATAACACCTTTTATCTGTCCACGCCGGCACCGCCTCCTTCAGAGAAGGAGAGGCAGCAGCTCCGTTCTTTGGCCTTGGAGTGGTAAAATGCCAGGCCTTGGCACTGAGCGGAGAGAGGACAAACCAGTCCAGGGGCAGGAGTGGTCCCGCGTTGTCCCTGGTTCTGCGGTTTGCTCATTGTGGGCAGGAAGTGTGGGTTCCAGGCGAGGCTCTGTATGAACCAACGTGCGGCTTTGCAGACATGCCACCCCCGTCACTTCTCTGCTCTGGGTCTCAAGTTTCTCATCTCAGATCTCCTTCAGTGAGTCTGCACCTTTCCACTGAGCTCCATGTCTGCTTCCCCTGGCCCTTTCTTGTCTGCCTTCTGGCCCCCACCGTCTTCTGGACCCTGACATCTTGGGATTTTACTTGAGTAAAACAAAGTCTAGAATTATTTAGTGTGTAACAGTTTTGTTCCCTTTCCTGGGCAGACATCTCCTTTACTCTTTTATTATTATTTTAAAATCATTCTTTTTTCCCTTAAGGGAAATAATATATTTTATATTACTGAAAAAAGTAATATAAAAACCTAGTATTTGTGAGTTAAAAGGGCTCAGCCCTCCCTGTTTGCCCGTCTCTACCAAAACAGAAATTAGGAAACATCTTTAAATGCTTTGGAATAAATGTCAGGTGGCTAAAGCAGACCTTGCTTGCATCACTTCCAAACAGGAAGACCTATAGATTGCCGTCTCCAGTAGGGAAGTGTTCATCGACTCCAGTCTTTGGCAGCTCTTGGAGCATCCTTCTCTGGGCCCCAATGAGCACGGTCAGCTCCTTACATCACAGTGAGGCTGTGCGGTCAGACTGCGTGGGCTTATCTAGTCCGTTCATTTAGCTCCGTGGTTTAGACAGCTATGTAAAACTCTCTCTCTAAAAAGCTACTGAAAGAGCTTTTCTAAGCCTTAATATTTCTTCAGCCATAAAATGGAGATGATGATGACCTAGCTCCTGTGTTACGAGAATTAAATCAGGTTATCAGCATGGGGCGCTAGCGCAGTGCCTGGTGTGTGGTGAGCATACAGTGAGTGTTGGTTGTAATTATCATTTAATTATTCAAAAGTACTAAATCATGGAAATAGTTAACCTTATGGAAAAGAACAGCCCAGACCAGCCCAGCTCTCTCCCAGGATTGTCGTTGGCTGAAGCAGCAGTAGGGAGCGGTGGCTTTGACCTTCTAAAGAGCACGTCATACCAGGAACCACGGCCACGCTCAGGGGTGGCAGAAGGCCTCAGGCGAGTATGTGGGAGGAGGGAGCAGTGACTGTTTTGAGATGTTTGAAAATGCCATCCTTGTATTCAAATCCAAATTTGTAAGGGGGGGGGAAGTGTTTAGAAAAACGTGACTGAATGTAGCTCCTGCAATAAGTGGCATAAAAGTCTTTAAGATGTTTGATAAAACACCTCATTTCACACCTCAGAGCACTTTGTAGACTTGATGGTGCTCTGTCATTGGACCCAGCGGTGAGTTTTCCCCCGACCCCGTGTCTCTTTTTCTGTCTCCGTCTCTCTCGCTTTCCATCCTTCTGCCCCCCTCTCTGTCCCTCCATCTTTCCCCCTCTGTCTCCCAGGGAGCTAGGACAACCGAGCAGGTATGGTCTGATCAGAGGCACTTGGTGGGATGACACTCACTCCCATGGGGGAGTAATGTTTTGGGGGATTCTGAGTCCAAGAAGCATATGTGATCTCATGCTCACACTGAGAGTCTGGAATGGGATCTTAGGGAGGTATTCGCATTTGCTCAGTCAAGGAACAGCAGTGGGGAACTGGGGTAAATCACTGTAGGACAAACTCACAAATTCAGCCATGGAGGTGGCGGCCTGGGAGCCAGTCCCCCAGAGGACCCAGAGCCATCACGCTTGGTTCTCCTGAGCCTCGGGGTACGACTCTCTCCAGCCCCGATGACTGGCAGAGGTTTGGGTCAGGCGGTGGCTGAGCGTGGGGAGCGTGGTGCCTCCCTGCCGGCCACATCCTTCCAGAGTGCAGCGCACTGCCCGCGTGACTTGCCTTCCGGCCTCTTCTTTTCTCTGCTTGGGTTGTTCTGCTCTGTATGTTGAGTTGCCTGGAATGCTTCACATGGACCTTGCTGTCCTTAGAGAGGTGTGAGCTTTCCCACCTCCGTTTCCTAAAAACCACCATGGCTCAGAAAGAAGGAAGCCTCAGTTACAGAGGGATACTTGGCGAGGTCTCCGCGGCTCAGAGCCTTTGTCCAGTCAGTGTGTGCATAGTGTGAGTTGGAAAGAAGGAGGTGACCTGTGCCCAGAGTGCCTGTCAGGGGCCGAGGGTCCCCAGGAAGGGGTGGGGGTGGTCTCCTCTGTCACCCAGGGAGGTGACTCAGAAGCCAGCCCTTGCCCTGGTGGCCTCAAAGGAGAAGGTTTAAAGAAAATTTTTTTTTATTGCAGTGTAGTTGACTTAACTATGTTTCAAGTGTACAGCAACGTGATTCAGTTATACATAAATATATCCTTTTTCAGATTCTTTTCTAAGTTTTTACAGATATTGACTGTAGTTCCCTGTGCTATACAGTAGGTCCTTGTTGTTTATCTGTTTTATATATAGTAGTGTATATCTGTTAATCCCAAATTCTTAATTTATCCCCCCCTCCCTTTCCCCTTCGGTAACTATAAATTTGTTTCCTGTGTCTGTGAGTCTGTTTTTGTTTTGTAAAAAAGTTCATTTGTATCATTTCTTTAGACTCCACATGTAAGCAATCCTATGTAGAATCTGTCTCTGTCTGACACACTTCACTTAGTATGATAACCTCGAGGTCCATCCAGGTTGCTGCCAATGGCGTTATTTCATTCTTTTTTCGGAGGGGGAGCTCTCACTGCAGCTCGGGAAACAGTCTCTCACCTCCCACCACCAAAAGGCGGTGCTGCCCTTAAAAGAGGAGGTGTCTGTCCCTTGTCACGTCCATGGTCTGTAATGGACAGATGCGTATCTGGACATTTCCTTGGCAGGGAAGAGCGGGAGGAGAGGAGGTCAGGGCTGCACACGTGGCTGTTCTGCCGGCAGCTTCTTACCTGGTTAGCTTTAAAACACAACTAACTGGATCCAGGGCACTTCCTGCCTGCGTGACCCCTCCCTCCACGTGGGCAAAGGGGGACGAAAAATCTCAGAAAACCTGGGGACTCTGGTACTGAGGACTCCCCCGGTTCCCCACCTCCTTCCCCGTGTGTCTGATGCTCAGCCCAGTCTAACAGGAGTTCGGATGCCTGCCCAGCGGAGGCCCTTCTTCTCTGCCGTCATCATTTCTAGCCGCTCTCTGTCTACTGGACTCTTGATTGGTTTCTGTTTTCTTTGTCTCCGGGAGCAGTAATTCTTTCCCCAAGGGAGTGGCTATTGGTGAGTAAACTGCGGAGGAAGGAGGGCCCGTCCGTAGGCGGGGGCCATCCTTTAAGGTCAGCTGGGACGGAGATCGAAGTGACCTGTTTGGTGGCCCTTGTTCTCCAGGGATTCAGGCTCAGGACCTGTTTGTCAGTAAGGGTGTGTGATTCCAAGTGGACACCGGTACCGGCCAAACCAAGAAATCTGGGATGCAGCTGGGGAGTCTGGGTCCCTGGCGCCCCACTTTTTATAAGAGAAGGGAGCTACTGTTGACTTAGCCGCTGTTCTGGGCACCTTAGCACCACATAGGCCCCTTTATTCTCTCCCCTTTGTGTGTAGTTTTCATGTGTATTACATCGTTTAACGTTGAAAACCTCATCAGCCAGTGTAACTTTGGCTTTGAACTGTCAAACACATGTTAAAGAACTCAAGAGGAGGAGGTTAGCCCACTTTATTTACCCAGAGTTTTTCCCTTTTCGCTTGCACCTCCCTCATTCCTGGTGTTCCGTTTCCTTCTGGTATTACTTCTCTCTAAGGAAGTTTCCTTAACGCTTCTTACAGAACACATCCACTGGCAGCAGATTCTCTTGAGAATGTTTTCACTTTCATTCCTGAAGGTTGTTTTGTTTTGTTTTGTTTGTTTGGTTTGGTTTGGTGCATATAGAATTCTAGACTGGCAGCTCTCTTCTTTCAGCACTTAAAAAGTGTTTTCCACTTCATTCTGGCTGCCATGATTTTTGTTGAAAAATCTTCAGTCATTTGAATCCTTATTTCCCCGAGAGTAATAGATGTTTCCCTGGTTGCTTTCAAGATTTGTCCTTTGTCTTTAGTTTTCAGCAGTTTCGTTACAATGAGTGTGGGTGTGGGTTCTTTGGATTTATCTTTTTGGCATTCGCTGAGCTGCTGAGATCTGTAGGTTTATGTCCTTCACCAGATTTGAGGAGTTTCAGTCATTATTTCCTCAGATGTATTCTTTGCACTGTC